ATAATATTTAACACTTACAAGTACAAGTACCCCCGTATTCTGTTTCCCAGCCCCTCTCCCTTTTGGGGGAAGGACTGGGGCGATAGCGATAACCATCACGGATGAATTGTTTTTTGTTGTTTGGTTCCCTCTTGATCTTGCTCATCATTGCTTGAACGCTTAGAAGGAACAGCACCTCGTCGGAATTGTTCAGGAATACCCTTTCCATTACGAACACTGCGAATAATCTGAATGAAGTTCAGACATGCTGCCATATCCCGATTCCATACACGATGTTCGAATTTTTCAATTGGCTTGTTGTCTTTATCCAGCTCGACCTCCTTGTCCTTCTCGTCATCCACATCCATCATACTCTCTTGAACCTTCTTGTCCTTGATATTCTTCATGGCTTCTTGACAATTTTGATGTGTGCATCTAATAAAATAATTAATTAATATATCATGATAAATAGCAAAGTGTAATAAATTGTACTTACCTTAAGAGACCATGTCGAATAACTTTAGGACCGTCTTCGTGTTTCTTGAGTCGAGGATTTCTGACCTTCTTGAACGTCTCGAGGGAGGGATTCTTGCAAGTTGGGCAGCATTTGCTAGTCTTATGCTCATCAATTAGAAAGACTTTAAAATGTTGTTGTATAAGTCTTCTAAAGCCAACACCACGTATGGGCTCGTGATATTTGGCGTGAGGAGCGGACCAGTTGCCCATCACAAACACCGCCTCCTTACCGAACTTCTCAGTTAGCTCTTGGATCAGCTTATAATCACTTTGTTGTTTGTTAATATAGGCTGAGAGCTTTAACTTTCTGAAAAGAGGTTGAGGGGTAGGATGCTTGGAGGGCTTAGTGATGGGCTCAGCGGCAGAATGGGTGGAGGGATCGGTGGAGGGATCGGTGATGGGGGTGGTGAGCGTTTCCCGGTAGAAGTTGGTAAGAATATCTGAGTGCTGTGATCTGCATTCCAGATATTTCTTATAATCCGCCAGAGATACAGTGCTACCCTGGGTCCTTGAAAGAGCCACCTCGGCCTGCTGCACCGCCTGATTCCCTTTCTTGCAGTCTTGAATGATCTTGCGGTATTTCTTCATCTTTCGCATCTTGTCTTGATGTAGTTTTGTGTACCGATATTTGATCGGCTTTTTTGATGTCGAGTCTTCATGTACACAAAACAATAGATCTCTTCTTCCAGGGTCTACCGCCACGCATTTGCCGTCGAGTTTGTTGCGATCCTCCTCACTTAAATCGGTGATATATTCGATGCTCTTCTTTGCTGACTTCGTTCCCCCTTCCTCGGTGACCTTCTCGATGCCCTTCTTGATGACCGTGACACCAACGCCATCGGTGTCAATTGAACCAAAAAACTCGAGCTCACCACCCTTTTGATTCCTAAGTGGCTTTGCCTTAAGGTTCACGACTTGGCTCCAATGTCTGTGCTTCCAAGCCTTAAGCTCTTCCTCAGTCTTCTTCTTCATCTTCTCCCCCGCTTTCTTGGCCTCCTCCCTCTTCTTATCTTCTTCACTCTTACACTTGCAATTACCTAGTATGTTCTGGCAAAGGATAACGGTATCTATGTGGATGTAACACGGCGAAAACGAACGGCGCAGAGGGAAACACTCAAAGGCCTTTAAGCCGAGGGCTTCAAACAGACAGGCAAGCTTGTAGAACGCTTTAAGATGCATAGCTGGGGCTGCTACACAATCATAATAAATACTGTCTTTTTCAAATTTGTAGCCCTCAGGATAAGCTTTTAGAACGGGCTCAAAAATGTCGAATGCCTCAGCAAGCTTAGGCTCCTTCTCAAATGTCGCTCTATTCACATCTCGCTTCGCTATTGCGGCTTTGAAGTCTCTTACAGGAGTAGTGATTTCCTTACTGATTTCCTTGCGAATCTCAGCATCATCTACACCCTGTTCGGACAATTCCTTCCTCATAGCCTTTATCTTCTTTTTGACATCGAAATGTTTGTTGATGGCGCGTCGAAGATGGTCGGCAAAGTGTAGCTTGATGTTGTTGGTATAAGCAACACAAATTCTGTTTGCTTCATACTCAGCCGACTGACCAGCTTTATCAAATTTTGGCTTTTGATAGCCAGTAATGGTATGATAATCATCCCAATGGTCACTGATCAATTTACGAAATTCAGCTGTCTTCTCTGTTCTGGTCTGGCATGTTGTCCGATTGAGTAAAGAAAGCCACACCTCTTTGAAAAAGTCTTTGTGGACGTACTTTTTAAACTCAAAGCTTGCACTCCCCTCAAATCCACTAAGAAATATGTACTTCGAGAGCGAGTAGGCATGGAAGGTCGTCGTATGCACAGTGTTTACTAGATGGCGTAAAACATCGTGATACTCTTTCTTCCAACCAATGCCAGAGAGAGACGACTTCACAGACAGCACTCGTTCACTGTCGGCAGAAGATTTGGGTCTGCCTTTAGTTGACGAGACTGGAGTCCCTGGCGGTGACGCCATGTAAAAAAAAGGATGGATATCAATGTAATAGTAATACGGTAAAGCGAGAACAGTTATAATATGAAGGCTTAATTAATCTTTTCTTTTATTGTAGTATAGACGCTTCTTTATATACGTGGCATGTTGGTAGTATTAGCTGCATCAATCTATTGTACAGGGGCGAAACGCCCTGCAGACACATACAGGAAGGGTGAATCTATTGTCGTAAGCAGTGTCATTTACAGCACAATACAGTAAGATTCGTGTCATCTAGTGTCATTGTAACTTAGCTACAATGGCATAATGCCAATTATAATTTAGCAATCAATAAGCGTTAATAAGTACTAATGAACTTGTTAATATTTTATTAATTATAATTGAATAGATCCTTTATTAATAAATGAGCAGAGTTTTGTAACGGGTGTTAATAGATGAATTAGCACTTATTAATGCTTCCATTAGTAACCTTCCCTTAACTCCCTATTAACTCCCTATTAACTGTTATTAATCTATTTGCTAATTCATCTCTAAATATCTACTTCATTATTATTTCCTCCTTCTCCTCCTTTACTTCTTTACCAATACTGTCTTCTTAGTCTTGACTACATTCCACTTGTCATTCAACAATACATCTCATTTTTGTGCCAACTTCATTTCTCTTTACTTCTTTCTTGTTTAATTTTCTTTATTAGTCAATAAAAGCATTATTTCCTCCTTTACTTCTTTCAAATACTATCTTATTCGTGCTAACCTCATTTCTCTGCCATTTCCTTTGTCATTCAACAACACGCGCTTTCTTGATCTTGCCAACATTCCACTAGTCGTTAACTTCTTTCACCTATTGTTTTCTTCGTGTCAAACACATTCTAGCAGCTTCTATTGCTTCCTTTTTCCCTTTACCTCTATCAATGCTGTCTTCTTAGACTTGACTACACTCCACTTGTCGTTGACTTCTTTCACATACTGTCTTCTTCGTGTCAACTGCATTTCCCCGTCATTTCCCTTACCACTAAACAGTAAGTGCCTTCTTTGTGTCAACTACATTCCACTTGTCAGTAAACAATACACATCTACTTCCTCTTAACTATATGCTAGCTAGTTCTTTTACTTTCTCAGTAATACGCGTCTTCTTCGTGTCATTCACATTCCACTTACTTCCTCTTTCACTTTAACATACACATTCCCAATAGCAGCTATTCTGTCATACTATCTCTATGTCGTTTATTTATCTCTTTGTTTTCCTCTTGCTCTATCCTATCTACATGCTCACTTGTCGTTATTGTTACTATACCAATAAGCCTTGTTTGCTGTTCGTTCTACTCCTTTGTTTTCTATCACTGTCCTGCTTATTTATCAGTGTTTAAGCGTTTACTACTCTCGTTGTAATATGTACCTTTTACTTTTACCATTCTTTTCCGTCATCTGTTTGTATGCCACACTTACGTCATGCTGTTATTTGTATTTTTATTTGTTTACTGCCATCTACATACTCTATTTACCACACACAAGCATATACTGCTTCTTCAAATAAACTGACATACGTGTTCATGCATCCTTCCTTGCTCATCCCTTGCTCGTTCGTGACAAGTCAGTCATTCTACTAGTTGCTGCTTGTTTATTATATTGTTTATCGTGTATTCTATTTGTTCACTCGTTGCTACTCCTATGCAATCAATCGTATGCATTATCATCATAATTTATCTACCACGATAATCAATAGCTACTTGTAAGTACATGACATGGCAATATCCAACTATACTAGTACACTTGTATCGTATACCTTATAGAATTGATGATGATAGTAATTGCTATCAATGAAGGATCCATTACTAATACTGAATTGTTATTATTATCATGCTGTGTGTAAGACGTTCACACTAGGAGGGTGGAAAGGGAGGTATAAAGCGATAGGTGAGGTCTTATTAGTATAAGACGCTCACGCAAGTAGAATAGAAATAAGGGATAAAGCGACGAGTGAGGTCTTACGTAGAACGAGATCGTGCGAGAGAACCTTATGACACAAACTACACGAACTCAAACAATAAAGCAAGTTACGAATAGTCAGAAGTGTCAAGGAAAAGGTCAATTAATGTTTATTGATATGTGTAACGTCGTTAGTTTATATACGCAACATACACCGCTCCATGAACGTAGCTCTGCTACGTTCTCTGTATTAAAAGAGACTTCTCCTCGAGTAAGAAGCGCTTAATCGGTAGGAGGGAGGTGATGTTGAGTAAGATAAATATGGCAACGTTAGTAGTGTTAATGATAGTGTTGATAATGAGAATACTGAAGTTAATGATAGAGATAATAATAATGTGACTGGTGATGCCGATGATGATACTAGCTAGTAGTATCATCATGATCTTCGATGAAATGGGTGAGAGGCGTCACACTGTGTCAATTGGCATTTCTATAATGATAATGGTGTTAACAATTGAATAGATTATTTATTAATAAACTGCAAATGTTAAAGGATAAATGCGCAAATTGGATGGAAAAACACTGTATTTCAATAATATCACGTGACTAAAAAGGAAACGTCACGCAAAAAAACAAGGTCTTACCGAGGATCGAACTCGGATCTAGAGATTCAGAGTCTCTCGTGCTAGCCATTACACCATAAAACCACCTAAGACCTGTTGGTTGAATTTTTTTTCAATTTTTGCTATATCAACTATAGTAAATTTTTGACCATTTTTTTGAGAACGCCACGCGGCCGCCACAGCGTGAGGATGGGGTTGTAGCCAAGTGGTTACGCTCTATTTCTCGGACGAATAGGTCCTGGGTTCGATTCCTGCCAATCCCGTCATAGGGAAAAAGGTATCATTTCTAACTAGTTAACAGAAATGTTAACATTTATTAACCTACCGACTATATGCTAGTTGGTTTTCTGCTACACAACCGTGGTCTGCACTCGCAAGACACATTTCCATTCCGTGGGCATTGGGCTGTTTGTCAAATTGTTTGTTATTATAACCCTGGTTTATTCATTTATAATAAAAGACGGCATATAGCCAAATATGTTCTAACAAGAAAAAAAAAAAAAACGGCCGCCACAGCGTAATAAATAGTGTAGAAACATGCGCATACGTTAGTAGATATTATATAGAGAGTTATAATAGGTGTTTATTAGTATGTTTTAGTATTACGACTAAATATACAGTAATCATAGTATATTTATGTCAAATCAAATAAATACGTAAAATATGTAGTTTACGGAATTAATTTTGAGCAGTTCTTTTTTATACCAATGCTTTCTTTTATTCAACAACTTTGGACGGCCGTTATCGGCCTAAACGTACAGCGTGATTGGAATTCAGAAGAAATGACTATTGTTAAACAACTAGTGCAGCGTGCCATTAATGGCAACAAGGTAGTAGTATTCAGTAAGACGTGGTGTCCATACTGCGTACGAGCTAAAGAGATATTGCAAGAGGAGAGGGTGAATGCTTTGAGCATTGAGCTGAATGAGAACGAGAAGGGTGCCGATATTCAGGCCTACTTGGCTCATACAACCGGGCAATCCACCGTGCCTAGTACAGTGGGGGAAAAAATTGTTCACGTGTTATATACTTTTTTACTTTCCCAATCACTACACAATTAATAAACAACATATCACTTTGTACTTTTACATGTTAATAAAGCTATTAATTCTCTTTCTAATGATATAAAATATGTGCATACTTTATTATAGATTTCTTGAGATATTAGTGTTGAAAGTCACGTGGTGCACGTGAACAATTTTTTCCATTACTAATAAAATTAACATTTCTTACCAATAATCAATTTTTATTCAATTTAAATGTAATAAAATGTTTATATATGAGTAAATACGAGCTGTCGTGCATCGTACGAGCAATAAATAATTATAAATCAAGTTGATGTGGTTGAGCAATATGGCTATAATTGCTCATTTTAATGTATAGTAAAAATGTTACTACAGTATGCTTTATTCACTTCCAAATGTTGTGCAAATGCTTATTAAAGCGCTTTTAAGCAATGGTAGCCTCCCTAGAACCACTGCGGGCAAGTTAGCTATGGTTAAAGATATGATTACATTGAACAATCACGCATGCAGCTGCTGGAATAGCGTTCATGTTACTACAATTTCGCTTATTACTCAGTGTACATTCGACCGATCCTACTTAAATTGCAGGTTATGATAAAGCACGTCTTCACGCAGATAATGATATAAAATAATGCTATGTCGATGGGAAAAGCGTCTAGTTATCATCCTACAAAGATGATGTCACATTAATGTCACTGAATAGCGTAAATTAATTCTTATTAAATCTTTTAATAAATTCTTTAACACTTTATTAACTGCTATTGTTATTGTTTATTATCTGCGTGAAGACGTGCTCTGCGCTATTTTTTACTATTATTTTTGGCATTAATTAATAAATTTATTACAAAAAATTAAAATTAAAATTTACGCTATTCAGTGACATTAATGTGACATCATCTTTGTAGGATGATAACTAGACGCTTTTCCCATCGACATAGCATTATTTTATATCATTATCTGCGTGAAGACGTGCTTTATCATAACCTGCAATTTAAGTAGGATCGGTCGAATGTACACTGAGTAATAAGCGAAATTGTAGTAACATGAACGCTATTCCAGCAGCTGCATGCGTGATTGTTCAATGTAATCATATCTTTAACCATAGCTAACTTGCCCGCAGTGGTTCTAGGGAGGCTACCATTGCTTAAAAGCGCTTTAATAAGCATTTGCACAACATTTGGAAGTGAATAAAGCATACTGTAGTAACATTTTTACTATACATTAAAATGAGCAATTATAGCCATATTGCTCAACCACATCAACTTGATTTATAATTATTTATTGCTCGTACGATGCACGACAGCTCGTATTTACTCATATATAAACATTTTATTACATTTAAATTGAATAAAAATTGATTATTGGTAAGAAATGTTAATTTTATTAGTAATGGAAAAAATTGTTCACGTGCACCACGTGACTTTCAACACTAATATCTCAAGAAATCTATAATAAAGTATGCACATATTTTATATCATTAGAAAGAGAATTAATAGCTTTATTAACATGTAAAAGTACAAAGTGATATGTTGTTTATTAATTGTGTAGTGATTGGGAAAGTAAAAAAGTATATAACACGTGAACAATTTTTTCCCCCACTGTATCTTTATTGGCGGCGAGCATATTGGTGGTTGCAGCGACCTGGAAGGACTGCAAAGCAACGGACAACTCCGGAAGCTACTAGCCGACGCTAAGGCTAACAACAATGAAGGCGGTTCAAGTTAGGCATTTTTAAGAATTCTTTTCTAATAAACTAGTTAACACTTTTATTAATAAATAGTGTTTATTATGATGGTAATGTAATAATATAGTGTGAAATATGATAGTAACCAAAGAGTCAGTCAGTTGTCGTCACATTCTGTGTTGTTGTCTGTACTCTTTCTTTTCGTTCGTTTGTTCGTTCGTTTCCTATGATTCATCATGCGTTCCTCTAAAAGAGCACTGTCGTCCGGTAGACAAAAGCGTAAGGAGCGCTATAAGCATCATCGCAGTACTTCCGGTGTTCTAACGTCCAGCACGCTGCATTCGTCAAATTCCTACGCGTTACTCCAGACAAAGACGTCGTCGCAGTATGAAGGGCAAGCTTGGCTGTCATCTCGGACGGTGCACTCACCTCGAAAGGAGAATAGTAAAGGCGACTATCACCATAGTGATGTTGGTGGTGCAGACGGATACAAGCGAAGCAACAATACGCAAGCATACGAGGGAACCACAGCGCGTGGCCCGAATAACGCTGACTTCTTTACAGCAAGCAACAGTGATGGTCGTGAACCAAAGCAACGACCCACTACCGCGCAACTACATAGGCGGAGTAGCTCGTTACGATCGATTGCTAATCGTCGCGATAATCCGAACGAAGCAGTTGGCGAGTTCTCTACGCTTTGGGACTTTCTAAAAGCCGAACTGACGACAAACGAGAATGATGCGACGGCCGAATTAAAGCGCGAACGAGTCACGAACTTTATTCATGTACCACAAGAGATCGAGAAGGCAAGTTGTCGAATGTATACGAGAGAAGTAAACATATAACATGTGTTAAACTAATATTCAAGGGTTGTTAGCTATTTACATTTGGTTATTTCATCTGTTTAGACTCGTTTATGCACGTATTCACCATTCTACCAATGCGTGTATTATTGGCAATGCAACAATTACTCGTGTATATGATGGGTCGAGCTAGGTATGACAGGTAGTGCTGTTAAGAGCAATCGCGACTAATTGTAAACATGTAGACAGTTGAAGGCAGCTCATAAGGTGGATTTAATCAAGGCGCTACTAGTATCCATTTGTTGCATTGCCCTACAATTGATTGATGCATCCCAGCTATATCATGGTGTACGTGGACAGTCACTCATCAAACTATACGTAATCTACAATATGCTAGAGGTAAGGAGAGATCATTCTTATTGTATCATTGTCGTATGCATACTGATTACGATGTAGATATTTGACAAGTTATTTTGCTCATTCGGACAAGATATACTCGACTCGTTTTTCTTCAAAATAGGCGATAGCGATGATAACGACAAGAAGACGGGAGCATCCACGTCACGCATTAAGCATCTACATCCGATATCGCACTTTATTATCGCATCAATCTATATGTGTATCCTTTATACGCGACTATGATTTGTAGCAATCAAGTAGCAATATTCTTAACTTGCCTGTCTGTCTATTTAGTTATTCATAGTATGATTCTATTCTATCAACTAGTAACGCTGAACGTCGCCATTAACTCATACCACAACTCATTGTTGACGATGTTACTCTCAAATCAGTTTGTCGAGATTAAAAGCAATGTATTCAAGCGATTTGAGAAAGAGAATCTATTTCAATTAACATGTGCCGGTAAGCGAATGATCATGTATAAGTAGTTAATTTATTAATTCACTATTCATTTCGTATGCAGATATCGTTGAACGGTTTCAACTGACGGTATTCCTCATTATTATTGCTATCCGCAATGTGGTTGAGTTATCTGGAACGACCATGTCGTCTTCACTGCCAGCGTCATTCTTCCCGCTCTTACCGACAGGCAGTATATTTCTATATAACGTATTGACACCGGTTATACTTGTGTTTGGTTGTGAGATGCTCGTTGACTGGCTGAAGCATGCGTTTATTACTAAATTCAATCATATACGGCCGACAGTTTATCAGAGATATGCCGAGATATTGTCTCGTGATCTGGTAGTTGGTGCTGATGGTGGTAGTGGTAGTGGTAGTAATGGCGGTGTCGCTGATAATGGACAAGCTACACGTCGTGTAAGTATATGGAGTAGAGCAGAATATTTGTAAGCGTTCTAATTGACAGAATGCAATATTTGAATATAGCGATTTATTGATCATTCCCCCGTGGTGGCACGTCGCATGGGATTAGCAACATTGCCACTCGGTTGTTTAGTAAGTGATGTAGTGCTTGCATGCTTATTTATTTATTTGCGTATATCTAGGTTATACGGAATGCCATTCAACTGATTAGAATGCTTAATCTGCGAGATGCATCAGAAACACAAAGTGACGAGGCTGCTCTTTTCCGGACTATGGTGCTATCTACCG